AAAACTAAAGCAACTAACTTTACTACACACACCCATAGTATAGGCAAACACTATGGAAGTTATATAATGAGTTGGTAAGATTTGTTTAAAAATGTTGTTTCATAAAATTAGATTTTTAATATTTTAACAAGCATGGTGTTATATTAAAGATGAATATATATCATTTATATCTAGACTAATAACTTGTCAAACAGAAAAAGGAAAGAAAAAAAAACATAGAATAATAAACTTAAGGAAATTTTGACTTTTACCACCAAAAAATTTAAACAAATTGTTTTTTATCACCTATTATTTTAAAAGTTGTATTTTACCACCAAATAATGTTCTAAAAATTGTTTTTCACCACCTACCGTTAAGAAAACCGTTAAATCTAACAGTGTTAAAAAACATTTTTCGATTTTCGTGCCCGAAATATGTTTTTTATAGGTTTAGGGGGACATTTTGGCCCTGTGGATCCAATTTGAGGTCAAAATTGATAAAAAAATGATCGGAAATACCTCGTTTTGCGTGTTCATGCAATTCGATATATTTTTAAACACACAAAACGAGGTATTTCCGATCATTTTTTATCAATTTTGACTTCAAAATGGATCCGTAGGACCAAAATGCCCCCTAAACCTATGAAGAACATATTTTGGGCACGAAAATCGAAGAATTTAAAAAAATTCCGTTAGATTTAACGGTTTTCTAAACGGTAGGTGGTACAAAACAATTTTTTGAGTTTTATTTGGTAGTAAAATACAACTTTTAAAATAGTAGGTGGTAAAAAACAATTTGTCCAAATTTTTTGGTGGTAAAAGTCAAAATTTCCATGATTTTTTCAACGCAAGAGCAAGTAACCTTAGGTCTCATTACAAAAATCTTAGTGTAGCATATGACTCTAATTGTAACTTTCATAATGAGTACTCCGAATACACAATTTATACTATTATTATTTATTATACCTAATACACTATTACATATTAGTTATTTATATTTTTATTGATAAGGTGAAGGACTCGCCTATTTATTGTTAGGGGAAAACATATCACAAGGAAAACCTCACTCCCAAAGAGATTTGATCCCCACGACTTTTAAGTCATGAGACCAAATCCTTACCACTTAGCTAAACCTTACTCGTTGTATCTACTTATACAACTAGCTATCTACCACTAAAACAACTAACTTTGTTACACACGTCCATAGAATAGACAAACACTATCGAAGTTATATATATATATATAAAGTACTCCGTACTAGTTTAAATCAGGTGACTAATTGGTATTGGGTTGAACCTAACTTGCTTTGGGCTTATGGACGTGTGGGCCAGATCGGGCCCTATTAATTACAATAAATTGACACTAATGTCTTTTCTTGAAAATCTTAAAAACTTTGTTGTACCACTTACAAAGGTGGATTTCAATTCTCAAGTGAACCTAGAGCTGTATCAGCTGATTATAGTTATCACTTCTCACGGGCACTTGAGAGTATAATTATAATGCTCACACCAAAATTTGTCTATCAAATTTAAGGACACATTTCCTACATTTTCGGTAGAATGTACGTAAAATTGTGAAGGGTCAATATTGAAAATAATATACATAATCAACCAATTGTGCCATCTTTTCTGGTAGGTTTTGTGGGTTTGATTTCATCTAGGGTGACAAACTAGCAACGTGATTCTGACGCTTTCAACCTTATTTATTTAAATACAAGTATTTGTTTGTATTAGGTATATATGTACGTATTATTCTGTATATAAAACACATTTTGTTTTTTTAATTGCAATAGTGTGTTGAATTTGTAATAAGCACATACTCTAATTTGACTATATATGATATTACTGAAAGATAAACATGATAGTTTGAAATCTTGTTAAATTAGTTACAATGAATATTTTTAATCACCCAATTTTTATAAATTTCTCTTGTCGTTGGTATAAGATGTTTATATAGTTGAAATTATGCAATAAAGAGCATAACATACTTCGTAAGTCAGTTTATTTTAACCTAGACATGATCCCTCACTCACAATGCATGACACATGCTAATTTTTTTTAACCTACGTGGGTCATGCTATCCGGAGTAGGAGAGAAATGATCGATTGAGAAAAACCTAACGACCATAAACCTAAGATCGCATATTGATTGGTTTCAATTGTGAAGTCACTAAAACAATGACATTCCAAGATCAAGATTAATTATTTATACGTATAAAAACGTGAAATAACAAAAGATTAATTTGAAAAATGAGGCCATAAGTAAGGGATAAAAAAATATAATTATTATTGTTGCTAGACATTTTCCACAAACAATGAAACAAATAATAAATTTTCTTTGATTTTATATTTTAGTCAAGGAAAAATATTAGAATAATCCAATTGTAAGTCCATAGAGGAAACATTAGACTCCTTAAAAACCAAGTGTTTTTTTTCATAATATAATGGCTAATTGATCAAAACAATAACAAACTCACGTGTAGACAAAAGCAAAGAAGATATTGATGCTAGAAAAGATGGTGACATGTATATGTACGCAAACATATAGACATATAATTATACTTGTATTACGGAAGAATTGCTAATGGTTATAATACTACACACGTATCATATAATCTTGTCATCAAAAATGAAAATTAGTAAATGTTAGGCCACCAAAATTATTGGTACAATGCTTATTACCTCGCATGTATTATAATTAATTAATCATAAAGGGTTTGGAACCGCCCATAGGTTAATTAATTAAATAGTAGGAGTATCAAAATCATCATTAAACTAAATCATAAAAAAAAATTGTTATCCTTTCTCATATGAAAAGTGATAGAATGGCCTACTAATACTGGCCTTTCATCAACAATTTCTTTTTCTTAGAATGTGCTTAGCTCTAGTACGTACTCATAGTCTATAATAACAAGATTATTACATTAATTTAATTAATGTGTAGTGCTTTCTCCGTCCCTTAATTAAATTCCTACTTCTCTCTATTATGTAAGGAATAAATGCGAGAACTAGGAATCTAATTAAGGGACGGAGGGAGTATTTTACATAAACCACTCATATTAGACAATTAATCAAGTCATATCTTATTCTAGAAATTTATTGTATTGGTGTTATTCTTATTTATATACTTATTATTAATTACTACAGATAATTAAAGGTCAAATCAGACAAGAACATACAAGACTACACCCAATGATAAATTAAAATTATCATCAATTGCTAAAGGATCCTAATTGATGCAAGTATACTTTATAAATTGATTAGATGTTCTCTCATAGTTTTTTGTATTGTTTTTTGAAATGTGTTACTATTGTTTATTGTTTTGACATTATTTATAGTGATCAATGGTACATACTCTGATTAAGAGAATTTTCACAATCTAGCATAATACCACATATCTCAGGTAAATTTAACTTACATTCCACAAAACACCTTAATATAGATGAAAATTAAAATAAAAACATACACCAATGTAATTATACGTCTAAACAGGTGCTTATTGACTCTAAACCAAGTTATTAAAAACAATGGCAACACTAGATAATTTGGACGGTGACCTATGATATTATATTAATGTAAATGACAACATACATGTTCTGTTAAGGTCAACCAATTTACAGGGACACAAGTCACAAAAAGTACTTCAAAATCTATTTAGGAGTTTATTAGAATCCTATTTATTAACTAAGGAATCCTAAATTTCTAAGTTCTAAGGACTGCTTTGTACTATTTTTGTCAAACACATCACGTCTAAACAGCCAATAATATTATAGCAAAGCAAGTTTTAAGGAATAATTTTTATAATAATCATGGTCCATGATGCCTTCTTGTTTATTCATTTTGCCTTTGTTTAACTTTATAAATTTAAGATAATAAAGGGGATGAAAAAATATATTAGGAGATGAGGAAAAATATTAACTTCTTATATGATTTATTTTAAGAAAGTCGGGACAAAGGAATTATGATCAATTCTACTCCATAGCTCATACTTGATTTATTGGGATGCTTTTTAAAAAAGTGTACGTGTTACATGTGTTACTTTATGTGCTTGTATATTTGCATTGTGTTGTATAAACAACATATGGCAAACACGATATATTACATGTTAATTCTATTAGATGATTTTATAAAATCTTGAATATGTCTAATATTGTTAGATATATGAATTTAAAATATATAAGAAAAGTATTGCATAAATGTATTACTTTTATATGTCTAACATAACAAATTTTATTGCAAAATTATTAAAAGTTGTACATACAAAGTTGTCTTTAAATTATTAAATTTGAAATTCGAATAATTAATTCTTACATACACTCTTCCATCAAAGTAATACTACGTACTCCCATTTATAATACTCCCTCTGTTTCAATATGATAGTCCCATATGCAATCAATCACATAAAATAAGAAAAGGTGAATATTTGGAATCTAGCATTAAAGTAAAAAACAATTCATAAATAGTTTGCCTTATTTAATTTTTTTGATTTTTTTTAAGGAAAACGTTAGTCATAATTGCATAAATCAAGGGAATAATTTCTTTACATAGAGTCATGTTATTAATTCACAATCAATTAATCTAACCACTCATAATTTATTATGTATAAAATAGGAAATAAAAACTAAGTTAAAAGTGGAATACATTCAATATGGGTAGATCTTTTTGAAACGCCCAAAGTAGTATATGGGACTAACAAATTGAAACGGAGGGAGTAATATAATTTTGAGAAAAAGATTGCTTGTATCCTTTAAATTGGGTTAAAATATGTGGGGTTAGAATAAAGCTACAAAATTAACAAAAACAATGGCCTTTTCTTATTTGGGGTTAAGACAAATGAAAGAACACAAAGGAGATCGAATGACCTAAGTACACTTAATTATTTAATTGATCAATTCAAAAGCTTGCAAATAATGTTACCTCCTCCACAATTATTAAAAACAAGATAATTAATAATAATCAATCTCAAATATATATTCAACTATCTTATGGTCTTACCAAAGTTATGAATATATAAAGGAGTATAAATATTATTCTAAAGCATATGATAATTGATCATTAACACTTCCAACATATTGGACCACCACAAACTCCACTCTTCCCTCTTTACTCATCATTTCCTTTGTCTCCCCCAAAACATTCAATCAATCTTACAAACTATTTCCTCTAATTCCTATTATCATTCATTCTCTCTCTAAAATCACTATTTTCTCTCTCTAAAATATGAAGCAAGATCAAAAACTTTCTCTCAGTAGAAGTACAAGTTGTAATTCTTGGAGTTCTAAAATTATCCCTTCTAATTTTAGCCGTTCAACTTCTTCTACATTTTCTCCTGATAGTCCTAGGGACGTGTCTCATAAACCCTTTGTACGTACTAGGGATTCTAGTAATAGTACCAATTCCCTCGTGGTGTCACGGGTGAAACTAACTCGTCTTACTTTATCCACCTTTTTCCGGTCTCTGCTCCATGTTTTCTCCTTCTCTACATCGTCCTTCTCGGCGGTTCCCACGTGTAGATGGTTGACTATTCCGAACCGAGTCCTTTCCTTATCTTCCCCTACTCCCCTAGGGCGGAAGGTGACGGGCACTCTCTTTGGACACAGAAAAGGTCATGTAACATTCGCGGTACAAGATGATCCTAGGGCTGACCCTGCCCTACTAATCGAGCTCGCGATCTCTACGTCAGCTTTAGTCCGTGAGATGTCGTCGGGGCTCGTGAGGATCGCCCTAGAGTGCGAGCGGGGGTCACACCAAACGGGGCGTGGGAAGCACGCGCCTAAGCTTTTCCTTGAGCCTGTATGGACTATGTATTGCAACGGGCGAAAATGCGGGTACGCAAACTCACGCGCGTGTAATGAGTTTGATTGGCACGTGCTTAGTACGGTCCAAAGCGTATCAGTTGGGGCGGGCGTTATCCCTTTAGTGGAGAATCGAACAGGTTCCGGTTCTGGTTCCGAGGGAGAGTTGCTATACATGAGAGCCAAGTTTGAGCGGGTCGTAGGAAACCGTGACTCGGAGGCATTTTACATGCTAAACCCGGATGGTAATGGTGGACCTGAGCTCAGCATATTTCTTCTTAGGTTATAATAATAATAATTATATAAATATATAATCGTCATTTATAATTTAATTTGATGTTGATGAGCTAGATATAATCATGATTAATACAAGAAAGAGTAAAGAAAATGGATGTTTAGGGTAATGATTAGGGATTATATGGCAAATGGAAGAAAGTGATTGGTTAAAGTAGTGATCAACCATTTGACATTTTCTATAATGTTGATTTATTATAAAGGGTGTTGGTGTGACCATGTGCTTTTGTTTATAATTCTAATACTTTTTTTTTTTTAGTTTTATTTTTTGGGATATGATCTTATACTATAGTTAATTTTATCTTTTGATTGGGTTTGATGACAAAAACTTTAATTAGTGAAATGTACCTTGATACAAAATTAATGAAAATTCGAGAAAGATTTGTAGTTTAATTTGTAATTGGTGTTTGGATTTTAATTAAAAGTGTAAGTATTTCATATTTTAATTTATATGCTTTTTTCGAGTGCATGCGCATGCACGCCACCTTCGTTCTCATCTCTCCAAATAATTGCTATGTTTTGTTCTTACTTTTGTGTTTTATTGCCTAACTTTTCAATTAATCTTCTTCTTGTAATCTTTATGACGTATTGTTGTTGTGATTTTATTATATAATTGATTTTACACCTTCGATTACTTGACATAATTATGCGCAATTTATTGAGTCATGCATACCTTTTACTGTATAATTTTATCTTTAGTGTACGTTTTGATGAGCTTAATTTTTATTTGGGTTTTGAGGATAGTAATTAGTAACTATATAGTAACTATCATTCTATCATTTTTTTACAATTTTACTATATAGTAACATGCATGCGTAGTAGTACGGTGGATACACTTGAGCTAATTTAACATAATTAGGTAGTGATTAATTACGTTTCGCAAATTAAATCTCACTGTGGATTAAATTAGGTAATTGATAACACTAGTAATTTGTCATGGAAAGAGAAGAAAAAATGAAATAAGAATTGGACCTTGATTGCACAAATCGAAACTTTAATTTGATAGTGTGGAAAGAGAGAATAAGTGGAATGAAATAGTGTACTTATTATGAAATCTTCCTCATCCTCCATGAAATGACACCATCTCCCCATGTCTTCTTATCCTCTAATGCATGGGGTTAAGATTGATCGGGGTTTATTGGCTAGGGTATCGAACAATTATACTTTGAGATTCTTTAAGTTGTACGCGCGTAGCTTGGAGTGATTTTCTCTATTTTTTTTAAATTGAGTCACACATATGTATTTTTCCGTTGTAATACATAAACACATAGTAACAAATATTATATGAAGCCATTTATAACTGATAGATATGTAAAAATGTAGCATAATTAGAAAGGCTAGATGATTAAAGATGTTTTTAACGGAGTCTTATATTTTTTTTCTTTTGTGATGAAACATAAATAATCAAATGTCACATCATATGTCAAACGTCATTATCAAATATGAACACAAAATTAGCTAATAATAATCGATGAACAATAACTTAATAATCACCTTTGACCCCTATTTAGTTAAATGCCCAAAATCTAGGAATAATATACTACGTATCTTTCTTGCTTTTAGGTAGAAAATGAAATAAGAATGCACGAGGTTTAAAGAGAATTTTCGGAGAAAGTAATGTGTAACATTGGAAATGGAAAAGTAAAACTTTCTTTTTCACATTACATTAGACATACAGTTGGCTCGGTTAAGCAAAGGCTAAGCGTGCAAAGGAGCAAGAAAAGTTGGCTAGCAAACATGTATTACCAACTTTTTGGTAACATAGTATGATAATTTATGAACTTTAATGAAACAAGAGTTTCAAATTAATTTGAAATTGTTTTTCCCCTTGATCTCTACTAGAAATTGTACCTCCCAAAGACAGCCACTAGGGTCGGCTATTTGGTTGTGCAAGCAGCCCAACAATATAGGGCTTTAAACTTATCGAGGCTTTAGATAAAATAGGGAATTCAAGACAGGATATGCTACATATATTTTTTCCGTTCTAAGGGCTTGTTCACATCTACTTGATTTTAATTCAGTTCAGCTCCAATCAGTTTAGTTCAGTTCAGCTTCAAATCTCCAATTAGTTCAGTTCAGTTCAGCTCCTAATTTCCCTCTCTCATAAAATATTCATTTCAGCTCCAATCAGCTCAGTTTAGTTCAGCTCCAATCAGTTTAGTTCAGTAAATGTGAACATGCCCTAAATAACTCGTGTTTCGGGGTTTTCTGATGTCCTGCGGGAGAGTTACAATTCCGAGACTGGAACCGGACGTCTGTACCTGCAAAATAACGGAGACTCCTGAGAGCTCCGCCTCCAACGGTCAAGTTAGTACCTGATTAAGGAGTAATCAATACAGAAAGTAAAGTAATGAGATCTCTCTAGGTGAGAGTGCTTAGTGTTGGTAATCTGCGTCGTTAGCGAGATTAGCCGGTTGTTAATAAGTCTGTTCTTCTCTGCTTGATCTCTTAATTATTCGGTTGTTTTTTTGTTGTTTTTTGATTAATGAGGATTAATCGAGTATTTATAGCCTTGGGAAGCGTGCAACTCTCTAGGTTTAAGGTAAACCTAGGGCTGATCGGGCCTCTAGACTGAAATGGGCCTTGATGGCCGGTTGTCCCACTTGGCATGGGTGGACACGTGGCGTGTCTTAAGTGGTCCGTGGAGGACGTATCTGTGACTGACACGTGGCAAGCTCCTGTTGGCCTTCGTGAAGGACACGTGGCGGAACCTGGTTGGTCCACTTGTCAGACGGTGATTGGTGGATAAAAATCCCCTAATCATTTGCCCCTCACAGGTGGCACGCGACTGGTCACGTGTCGCCTGTGACAGGTGTCGCACGGTGACAGGCGACGGCCCGTTACAGGTGTCACCTTGCAGACGGCCGAGAGATTTTCCCGCCCAAATTTGAATTTGGAAGCGACCCTTCGCCTTCTCATTTTGCCTATAAAAGGAAGTGCTGACTTCGGTCATTTTCACATTTGAGAACTTTTGCGAGAACATTCGGACCCCTGAACTTGCTCTGACATTTTCGGACTTTTTCTGCCTACCGCCTGTTCTGACAAGCCGACTGACCCGAACTTCCAGGACTTCATCAACCGTCACCCGTTCAGGTAACTCAGTTCTCTTACTCTTAATTTTCTTTTTATTTTTTGAAATGGCACCATGGAAGCACACGACACGCCCTAAGTTAGTGATCAGCCGGTCACCGGGGACGGCTGAATCTAGGACTAGGAGTGCCGCCTGCCCTTTTCTGGACCCATCTTTGCCCTTTATACAAAGTCCGACTGAATCTGTGTCTATGCAGAACGTGATGGCCAGAACAAAAAAGACTGCTATGATATCAAACTCAGACGGCTCCTCCCAAAGGGTGCTCCTTAGCGAAACATCTGACCAGGCGCCAGATGTAGAACGAGGCGACTGTCAAGCTGACAGTGCTGAGAGAGGGACCAAGGTGTTCCCTTCTCATCTAACCGTGGACATGTCTAATTTTCCTTCTGCTCCTTCTAAGGGAGAGGAGGCGGGCCCCTCTAGGAGAGGGGAGGAGTCGTCCTCTTCGGACTCGTCAGGGGACGAGTCCGAATCCAGCTCTTCTGACCATAGTTCTTCTGGCTCAGAAGAAAAACATAGCCGCCTACAAGAGGCGAGAAGTTCTCATGCAGTGGAGAAGGGGGATAATTGGGCAGAGCCGTCCGCCTCTTACAGAGAGGAAAACGCCCCCTACTACTGCAGGGTGCCCCGGGGCCGGATTGCAACCATGCGAGACAACGTGGCGAGCTTTATTGCTAACCACAAAATGGGCCCGGAGTATTTACTGTTTGTGCCGGATCCAGAAGATACTGTCGTCTGGCCGGCTGGTACCAGCTATGGTGACGGCTGCTTTGGCTGCTATGTGGCGGCCATCAAAGCTGGACTGCGCTTCCCATTACATCCGGCTGTTCAGCGGATTTTAGATGGGTATGATCTGGGGTTATGGCAGTTAGCCCCCAACTCTTGGGTAAACGTACTCGGCTATGTGGCCGGGTGCGAACTGAACGGGGTGGAGCCAAGTTTTGAGGCTTTCGCCCACATGAACTATCTCAGCCGGACCCCCAAGTCGGGAGGTACCGGCTGGTATCAATTGACAAGCCATAGGGGTTACCTCATGACGAGAGGTAAGGCAAACAAATGGAAGGATTGGCGGAACACCTTCCTTATTATCGAGAGTTCAGACACGGAGCTGAACAAACGTTTTAATAAGTGGAACAGGGATCCACCTCTTCTCGCAGGCGGCCGCAGCATACCGCCTGTTCCCCCAAAGGCTAAAAAAGAGATCCTAGACAAAGGACTCTTCAAAGTAGAGACTAGGGTGAACTCTACTTCAGGGGTACGAGAGCAAGTACCCCTAAATTGCGTCCCGAGCTTCAAGTGGCTCTATGACGAGTACTTCTTGGCCGCCTGTGGCCTCGGCAGTCGGTGCTCTAGAGGTAGCCGGCCTGACGAATACTCTGTTTTTTCACGCCTTGTTTACTTGGAATTTTTACTAACTTTGCTGTTTATTTCTTTCAGCCGACGCCATGAGTAAAATAACAGCATCTAAGACTGCGGCGGCCATGCTGCGGGTCTCACTAATGAAGCAGTCGTATGTCGACTCCCCCAGCAAGGAGGCACCCTTGGTAAGCTTTGAAAACTCCTCCTTTTAGTTGTATTATGCATATACTAACTCTTTTTGTTTTCAGTCTGGCACTCCAAGGGCTTCTTCCTCGCAACAGCCGGACCCCAAGGCCCGGAGGACGACTGTTGCAAGCTCTCCTGGGTCTTCCAGGAAAACAGTGGCGGCTGAGAAGCAGCCGGCCACTTCTTCAAAAACCCAGGCGGGGCCGCCTAGATGTATGGACACTTGCTTGTAAAAACTCACCCTTGCTTCCTTCTTGATTAGGTCTAACTTGTTTTTTCCTTTCGCTTAATGCAGCCGGCCCCCAGGGACTTGACTTGGTTGAGGTAGCCAAGTCAATGGTTAAAATAGTTCCTCCATCTGACAGGGAGGCGGTCAAGGGTGCCGGCACCCTTGACCTCGATGGAATTTCGGGGATCCTAGCTGAGGTATACTTAGCACCTTTTTGAGCTTTTGAGTTCCAGGACGCCTGTTAACTCTTTTGATTGGAAACTGACGCCTGTTTTTCTTTGTACTTAGGCCCTGCTCCGAGTCAACAGCCTTCGCAAGCCGATTGATCGGAAAAACAAAGAGGTAAAGGCCGCAAAGGCTATGGCCGCCTCCAGCTGTGATAAGGCAATGTTTCAAATTGCCCAAAATGAAGTACTGACCCTTGATCTTCTTTATTATCAGGCGCAGGCGACCGCCGCTGTTCGGGCTCAGCTAGAGACGGCCCAAAAGAAGGTTGACGAGCTGGAGGGGACCGTCACCAAACTTAAA